TGGAAGCAACATTGAAGAGATAGTCCAACGGGGAGGGTGCTTGCCTTGCACACAGCTGACCTGGGTTCAATCCCTGATATTCCATATGGTGCCTTGCGCCCACGAGGAGCAATTACTGAGTGCAGAGCCAGGAGTAACCCCTAGCATCATTGGGCATGGCCCCAAAACCAAACCAAAACTAAATAAAACCCCCAAAAAACAAACACTCTGCCCCCAAACACACACACACCTTCTGGAAACCACTGTTCAAGTTAGGCTTCCTGAATCTACTCTTTCTCTTTTCTTGACTTTTGCTGGCCCACCTCCTTGCTCAGAAGTTTTCCATTTTCAAAAGCCTAGGCTTGATTTCAAATCCTAAGCTCTGAAAGCACTATAGTGTGGCCCAATCAGAGTACCAACTCCGGCAACAAAGCCTCTCCCCAAATCACCACTCACTAACCCAAATCAGCTTCTGGACTGACTTTTGATGGATTCTGGCTCCACAGGTTTTTCCCTGCCATTCTTCTTCTTTTTTCTAAATAAGTTTTATTGGATCACTGTGAGGTACAGTTACAAATTTGCATGATTTCGTTTCAGTCACAAAATGCTCAAGCACCCATCCCTCCACAGGTGCACATTTTCTACCACCATTGTTCCCAGTGTCCCACCTGCCACCTCACCCCATCCCACTCCCTGCCTCTGTGGCAGGTACAATCCTTCTTACTCTTTCTCTAATTTGGGCCACCATTCTTCTAGCCTGGACCCTTCCTTTCCTCACTGAAACCTAGATACTTGCTGGATTAAGGGTGAGTCAACTTACACCCTCTCCTTGAAGTCTTTCCTTTCTGGTGGAGTAGGGGGTGCTTTGGGTCACAGCCAATAATTCAGGGATTATTCCTGGCTTTGGGCTCAGGAGTGACCCCTGGTAGTATTCACGACTATATATGCAATGCAGGGAAATTCAATCACAGTCAGCTGCATGCAAGGCAAACACCTGACCTCCAGATACTACGAGATACTACATCTCCAGCTCTTGAGTTCTTTGATGGTGCCACACAACCACTTTGTGACTTGCTGCCATGTCTGTGAACCCTGGCACGCTGCATACAATGACATCAGACAATAATTCACTCTTACAGCCTTTTGAATGTCCCCCAACATTTAGCACAGACCCTTGCATAGCATATCAATTCAATAAGCACTGAACTAACACACATCTACGAGCATCATCTGTGCGCCACACATAAGACTGGACCAAACTTAGTGGATTAGTCAACATAATGGATCTGGGAAATCAACTCTAGTAGCCCATTCTGAAGAATATAACAGACAAGATAAAGAGATTTGACTAGATTCAGACACTTGATTATTTTCAACTAGTCTAAAATCTGGGTCAAGTCCTTTCCCCTCCCATTACAACAAAGAATACAATGTCTTATATTTGTGCCCAAAGAAATGTAAGTACAGAATCTTAATGATTCCTCCCAGGATCCATGTGTCTATGCATTACCATGCCTTCTATAAAGAAAAAACAAGAGGAGATTGGCCTGTCCGATGTTGGGAACAGAGAGAAAGAGACCTGGGTTCTATCCCCATCACTGCATAGTCCCCTAGAACAGCTGAGAGCAAATCCTGAGCATGACTCGGTGTGGCCACCAAATCCAAAACCCAAACAAAAAACCAAAGTCACAGCAGTGTGTGGAAAGTCTGCCCTAGGTGGGGAAGCTCAGTGGTAGAAAACAGATGATCCTGAGTATCTGGAGGTTGTAGGACACGGGACTTCTTTCTCACTTCACGTGTGCTCCAGACAAAACTGGCAACCCTCTGTCATTCACTATAGCCTAATATATCCTGGCAAAGTAATCGCTTTTCCTGGGTATCACAAGGTTCCTTGGGGAATCCACTTCTCTAATGTCCTGTTTCACGTGGAGGGAAAACTCGGGAGATGCAGTTTTCGTTCAAGTTCTGCCAGGAGCCTTAGATCACTGGAATGAAAGCTGCCAAGGGGCGGGCCTGCACAGCCTACTTCAAAGGGCTGTGAGGAGGAAGTCAAATGGACAGAAAGACAGTGGACAAATTCAAAGTCCTGCACAAATATAAGGCAAAGCAACAATGGTGATAAAGAGGAAAAAGATACCCCACGGAGAAAGTGTTTAAAATCAAAAGAAAGATTCTGTCTGGCCCAGCAGGTGACTGACTGTTGATAGTCTAGTCATTCTGCGAAACAATTACCATAGGTACCTCCTATGTGCAGGACAGCTGTGTGCACAGAGATAAAGCTACAGCTTCTGCCCTTGCAGAGTTCATGCAGCGGAGAGGCTGACCTTGTGGCTAGGGGCGGGAGCACTACAAAAGGCGTGTCAAGCCAAGGGACCAGTACGTACATAGGAGCCGGAGCACAAAACCTTTCAAAGTTCTTCTAAGTGTGTGGTGCCAGGAAGACTACCACCCTCGGAGACACGAAAGCCAGATTATGGGCACTACTGTTAGTTCTATTTACTCTTTCTGTATTACCATAAAGACAGACAGACACGGTTGGAAGGGAGAGGAGAGAGAGAGAGAGAGAGAACTGTACTTAGTTTGGGGCCAGGATGTGATCTGAGAATGAGAACGAAATGCCTTTCTCTAAGCAGGCAACAGTATGGGCTGCCAAGCAGATGGGTGGATGCGTGGAAGGGTAGACAGTTCAGGAAGGCCACAGGTACCCACTAAACAAACAGGGGGTGGGCGGGCTGCATGCACAGCGGAAGGCGAGAACAAAGGACCCTCATTCTCTGGGCAAAGTCTACAGTGTGCACAGGGCATCAATATTGGACATTTCTCACTGTGACATTTTGAAAGCCCAGCCTAGCCCAGAACAATGGTTATCCTTTGGGGACCCGGGCCTGTGTGCCCTTAGGCCTTATTCAGTGATGGCTGCCAGAGCCCAAGTGCTCGGTGAACTTGACCTTGGGCATCAGCCTCCCATGATGTCTCTACGTCACTCTGGTCTCTTCCCCCACTAAGAATTCCAGTCGCAGATGAATGGGTGGATTCATTCTGAGAGCAGGAAAACCACTGCAGGAGTGAATCAGAAGGACCCAGCCCTGGTCCCCTTGCCAGCCATTGAGCCAGGAACTGAGTGCAATTGTATACCCAGGCGCCGGTGCCATTCTCCTCTCAGGGAGAGAGGGTCAGGGTCCACGCAAGAGATGACGCAGAAGTCCTCTCAGAAGGAAGAGGAAAAGACCTCCGCTTTAGGGACAAAGCCACCCTTTTGGCTGTGACCCTCAGTCCAAGGAGGTGCCAAGATGTAGTTGTCCTGGTAAATTAGTTTCACTGGATAAAAATCTCAGCTTTTGCTAAACAGCTGGTTGTCAATTTCAATTTCTCTCCTACCCAGCAGACAGGAAATAGGCTATTCATTTTTCAAAACCAAACCCAAAATATTCTCTACAAACAAGAGAAAGCAACGTACCTCGGATCACCCAGGACTCATTACCTTACTTGTTCTGCTCTTCTGATTAATGAAGGAAAAGAATTCATTTCTACACATTGTAAGGTGCCCGTCTAAGCAATATGGAACATCTTTACTTCCCACTTTTTCCACTTCCTATCTTGAAAGGTGAAAGTCCTTGAAAGACTCAAAGATTCAGGAGAGAGCTGGCAAGAGCGCACCATACTATAAGGCTAGAGGCACCCAGGCCAACCCTTCAAGGAAGTAATTCTTTGGGGAAGGGAATCCCCAGAGAGCTGCCACGTTGTCCATCCCTCACTGGGTTATAACAAGACGAGAAGTGTTGGCTTTTTAGACGTCAGCTCTCTCTGGGCTCCGAAAAACAAAGGTGAGGGGAAGGAAGCAGCTCCTAATAACTCCAGGACTTTTTAGAGCCTTGCTCCAGATTTTCCTTTGCGTTCAGAGCTAACTGTCCATCACGTTCATCTGAGAAAGCGGGGCGCTGACACAGGGGCTTCAATGTTCCATTAGAGAGCTGCCCTCCACACTGACTGACATCAGGGGCCTGTGGCCAGCGCTTAGTCACCAGCCTAGGCCAAAACTGAGCTTGTGAAAGCTTCCCCAAAGAAACTCTGGTATCTTCGCTCATTCTTAACTCTCACAAATGGGCTGTGTGTAAAGAAACAGGCTAGAACCCTGAGAACAGGGCAGTCAATTCCCTATTCCAGTGGAATTTAGATTCCCAAAGGGCTGGCTCACTCAGGATCTCTCTGGGATCCATGGATGCATGAGCCCCCCTCTCCCCCCCCAGAGCTGCGTCCACTGACATTTGGCCTGGTCCATGTACAAGTCCCTGGGCCTGAAGACAAGATCCTTCGGGCAATACAAACCCGACTCCCAGCCTTGCAACGTGTCTACCATGAGCCAAGCACCAGGTGCACAGCAACTGGGGTGTCCCTGGCTGCTTCTCTCACGGGCTAGTTCAGAGAACTCGGGCGATTTAAGCTTAACTCTGCCCATCTGAGAGGCAGGGTCGTGGGTACCGGACACCCCCAAACGAACCCACACAGGACGGCGCGTTGCAACAGGGAAGGAAGTTTTGTCTTTCCAAGACTTGGGGGTGGGGGGGGTGGGTGGCAAGCCTGGTCCTGAACAGGCGGGTGGCATCTCTGATCAGTGAGCTGGGGGAGGGGAGGGCCGCGGTTGCCAGAGGGATGCCCACGGCTCTGGGGAAGGGGTTGGGGAGGGGACAGATGCCCACTGGGAGAGAGACGGCGGCGGACACTCCACCTCCAAGGGCTTTGGCAAGCGCAGGGAAGAGGATCGTCGCAGCGTCAGCAGATAGGAGAAGACGGGGCAGGCTGGTCGGATGCGGAAAGGAGCCCGAGGAGGGATCCCTGGCTAAGGAGCTGTCACCCCGATCCCGGGCGAGTCGTGACCACCCACCCTCCGAAGCCAGCCGGGCTCGGTTCTGGGGGGCGGGCGGGTCGATGCGGGCAGCGCGCGCGAAGGGACCGGGAGGGACGCGGGGCAAGGCCGCTGCGGCCGGACGTCCAGCCGCCCCTGACGCCTGAGCCTCACTCACCAACTCATGGTCCCCAAGCTGCCGCAGGCTCCTCCACAGCAACTCGGTCCTCGGGGATCACTTCCGGATTCAGCCAGTCTCCAGGAAGTGACGAAAGCCACGCCCCCTCTGCCCGGAAGTCGCCGAGGAGTGGGCGGGGCGGGGCGTTAACCCCTCCGCTGCCCCGTGCTTCCCAAGGAGTCTGGCCCAGCTTCGGGCGTGCATTGGCTTAGGGGTTCTTGGGGCAGTTCAGACCGGGCCGTGGTCACCTCTGGGTGCTTTTTCTGCTTTGGAACACTGACTTGTAAAATTTGCCTCTGCAGAGGACACTTGTCTCTGAGCTGGGTTCTTTCCTCTTGTCTGCACAGTAGAAAGTAGATTGTAATGCAGATAGGAGCAGTAAATACCCAGGTGACTGAGACACCTATTCAAGGTGTGATCTTTTGATTCTTTAAAATTTTTGTTATGGAGGATGGTTGTGAATTACCTGTGGCTAATAAACAGATCTTTCTCCCTTCAACTTCTGGCACAGGCGCCTGAGCACGAAGAATACTTTCCAGGTTGAAACATTCTGTTGATTTGATCAGTTAAAAGGGGGGACACGGGGCAAGGACCGCTCCCCCTTATGGAACCCAAACCATGGGAATTATCCCTTTCTTCTACTGCTTCACATAACAGATACTCACTGAGCTAAATGGTGCCAACACCCAGGACACAGCACGAGAAGGGAGTATGGCTGCTGCCCACATGTGCCCTCCAGAGCTGATAACCCTGAGGGAGAAGTAAGTGGGCAGCTAATATGGTGTGGCCCCTTCAATGCACATGGTCTCACTTAAGGTTTCCAGGAGGAGCAACTGCCCAAGCTGAGTCCTGGTGGTGATGCAGGTCAGGCCTGTGAGTCTGAGGGGAGAACTTGGCCAAGGGAACTTGGCTGAGAAGGAGACTGAATTACAGGCAAGGTGCTCATTTGCCTTCTGTTTTTTCAAAGTCAGAATTCAGGGTTTTTTTTTTTTCTTTTTGGGTCATACCCAGCGATGCTCAGGGGTCACTCCTGGCTCTGCACTCAGGAATTACTCCTGGCAGTGCTTGAAGGACCATATGAGATGCCGAGGATCGAACCCGGGTCGGCGCATGCAAGGCAGATGCCCTACCCACTGTGATATCACTCCAGCCCCAGAATTCAGGGTTTTAGATCCCTATAAATTACCTAGGGAGTCTGGGCTATGTTGGCCTTGTCACCCTCCCCCCCCCCCCCCAAAAAAAAAACTCACTGCCTCCAGAGAGAGAGGAACAATGAGCCAAGCAAGTCCTTGCCAATTGCCACTAGACCTTCAAATGGACCTCACGTGTGTCTCAAGGGTGGTTACTTGGGGAGAAGCGAAGCAAATAAAGGGGAACAGGGGAAGCGGCCAATTTGTTCCGACTTCCCAGGGTAGCATGGAGCATGTGGCCCCCAAGGAGTGGGGGCCTCAGTGGGCTTTCACAGGAAGTCTGGGCTCAACTCAAGGCTTTCCAAATATGGAGTGGGCACCCAAGCACATGACCTAAATCAGCTTTATCACCACATTATTTCTCAGGAAATGGGCCAGAACGAGCCCTGGAGATGCCTAGAAGAGTAAAGAGAAAGAGAAGACACCCAGGGCAGCCAGGGCAGAGTGTGGATCAGGGGAGAGAGGGCTAGTGTGGCAGATGGATGAGAGGCAGGTGTGTGAACCTCTGGCATTTCAGCCCTGTGGATGGCTCCCCCACCTGCATCCATCCTCCTTTCTCTGGCCTCATCTCCTCTAGTTTCTGGCTTGGACAGCTAAAGACTGTCCAGGAGCATGCCTCAGGCCACCGCTGTATCCTAGGGGAAGCCTGTTTCAGGGCAGAGCCGAGCAGATCCCTCCTGCCGGGTAAGAGTGTGGGTGTGAGTGGGGTCTGCATGGGGGTCTCTGGGTCTGAGGAGTGCTGAGAACTCTCTTGAGTGTTGTGTTTTTGACACTACAGTTCAGTCAAATGTCATCCCCCCTGGACTTTGGTCCCCTTGTCTCTAGGATGAGGACAGAGCTGACATTGCTGACATTTTTCACATTACAGTCTCAGGGCTCGCGAAGCCCTCAGGATCTGGGGGAACATGAAGGCATGAGAGGTGGAGCCAGAATAGAAGCAGGTCTACTGAAGTGAGTGGGTCTGGGGAGACTCAGCATCTTGGGATGAAACCAAATCTGGGAGGAAAGATTCAGCCTGATACCCAACTGAAGTTGTGCTCTTTGGCCCACTCCCAAATCTCTGAATCCCTATGGAGCTTTCTGAGTGTCTGTCTGGAGGTGCTGTGCTGCTCCCAGCCCAGCTGATGTCCCACCTGCTGTGAGCGGCATGAGGCAGGCAGGGCGAGGGATGGGGGGCAGGCATGCTACTGCCTGTGACCCCACAACTTCCATCCTGTGGCACTGGTTCCTGGGGAGCTGGACATGGCAGCACAAACACCTCCTACTGGTGTGAGGAACTCAGTAGGAGGGGTTCCAGACCTGGACAGCACACTGTGTTTCTTTTTGGAACCAGAGGTGGCAGTGTGGCTCAATGGTAGAGCACTTGCCTTATGTGTATGTGGCCCTGGGTCTATTCCATTGGCAGGAGAGGTGGGGGAGGGGGTGGCAGGGAAGTGCCTCATTTTGTTTTATTTATTTATTTTGCTTTTTGGGTCACACCCGGCAATGCACAGGGGTTACTCCTGGCTCTGTGCTCAGGAATTACCCCTGGCGGTGCTCAGGGGACCATATGGGATGCTGGGAATCAAACCCAGGTTGGCCACATGCAAAGCAAACGCCCTACCCACTGTGCTATTGCTCCAGCCCCGGGAAGTGCCTCATTTTGAAATCAAAGGGAAATACCAGAGGGATGGGAAAGGAGCCAATTCAGTGTCTAAGTGGACTTTGAAAGTGGAGTTTGCTTTGGATGCTCCTGGTAAATACTTCTTCCTTCCTAGAATTGAGCCTTCAATTAAGAGTGTTCAGGTAGGGGCTAGAGTGATAGCACGGCGGGTAGGGCATTTGTCTTGCACGTGGCCGGCCCGGTTTCGAATCCCAGCATTCCATATGGTCCCCCGGGCACCGCCAGGGGTAATTCCTGAGTGCATGAGCCAGGAATAACCCCTGTGCATCGCTGGGTGTGACCCAAAAAGCACACACACACACACAAAAAGAGTGTTCAGGTAGGTTGGGAAGATAAGCCCAGGGCATTGGAGTGCATGCCCTTAGGTACAAGGTCCTGAGTTTGATCCCTAGCACTGCAGCTCCTGAGAAGCATCACATTGCCAGGTCCAAGCACTGAACAATCTGGTCTGGTTGGCTGAGTGCTCCCAGGAGTGTCCCTTGGACCCCTGAGTATTGCGTGCTCCCTTGCCAGAGCTATACCTTGATAGACAAATGGACAGGCTACTTACTAGAGGGAAAGCAACCCAAGAACCAGTTCTGACCACTCCTTGGAATTTATTTTAGTGGGGGGGGGGTGCTGGGGATTGAACCCCGGATTAACATATATGAAGCTTGTGCTCTGATGCTCAACTGCATCCCTGGATCTTTTCCCAGGAGTCTTTCATTCAGAAATTAATAATTATGGCCATAGATATAGAACACTAGTTAAAGTTCCTGCCTTGCATATGGTCAACCCCAGCACTGCCTAGAGTCCCCTACGCCCCGCCAGGAGTGACCCCTTAGCACAGAATCAGTAGTAAGCTCTGATCACCAGTAGGTGTGGCCCCAAAACAAAAAAGAAAAAGAAAAATTCTAACCTCAACTCTGGCCTTCTTCTGCTCTTCCTTTTAGATTTCCTCACATAGAAGCTGTCTCCCTGGTACTTTCACCCAGCCATTTTCTCAGCTAAGAGTACGGATTCCTGGGCATGTCCCTGGTCATTAGAGGCTTCATTAGAATAGAAGGACCATGACTGAAGGGACTGAGTAAGGAGGGTTTGGGGGTGGGGTGGGCTGAGACCCTCGGTGCTGAAGGCCCGTAGAGCAAGACTCAGTCCCTCAGGGTCCTGTGTGCTTCCACAACTCATTTCTCTGTGCTCTGCACCCACTCAGCAACATGCCTCAGAACAAACATTCCCTGGACAGCAGTGGGCCAAGGACATGGGAGAGGTGCCAGGGTGGGAGAAGACGGAGGACAGCAAGGTAGTTTCCAGTAGCAGGAGGCAGGGGAAATGGCAGATCAGAGACTGGGTTGACCAGCAGCAGCCAGACAAGAAGAGCTGAGGGAACACTGGCTTCAACTCCAAGTAGCTGGAGTCACTTCCCTCCTCTGGGCCTCATTACCAAGACTGCCGTGTAAAGACTCTAAGTTAGATCCTGTGTGCCAACTTGGTATTATTATCTGTCTGGAGTGTTCTGGGGATCCAGCCATGGATGAAGATGCTCTGGGAGCAGCTGGCAATGTCTGCCCTGGATGAATAAGGGGGATGTTATGGTCTACATTCTACCTTGTTTTTGTTGCTGTTGTGATTGTAAGTTGATAACTGAGCATGCGTAATGTACCCAGCATTATTCTATTCTAGCCAAGTTCACATTTATTTACTGGTGAAGCAAGAAGGTTTTTTTTTTAATTAAAACTTATTTAGAGAGATGCAAGGGAGAGAAAGGGAGAAGTACATGTTCGAGAGAGAACATAGGGTTCTCCAGAATAGAAATAAGCAAAGAAACAGAAACAAGCAAGCAAGATTCACATTCATGGGAGAACATGGGCTTGAAGAGTAAGCCCAAGCCCACATTTCCTCAACAATACCATCACGAGGTTGTTATTATTATTCCAAGCATGCAGGAACTGAAGCACAGGAAGTGGCAGAATGGTGCATCCAACCCGGATGGCGAGGCCCTTGTGTCTCTGCTCTTTGCTGCCATGCTCTGCCACCCCTCCTTGATGGCTCCCGAGGTAGCTGATCATCTCCAGAGCTGCCAGGGCAGAGCGGGGGTGGGGAGTCAAGCAGACTGATGGAACAGGAGAAACACAAGCACCGAATTCCGGGTCGGGGCGGATGGCTGGTCCACATGCCGCTAGGCGCCTGACCAGGGATCGGAAGCTCAGCCTCATCCTGGATGCTTTTATATGCTTCCTCCAAGCTCGC